CCAACTCTAAATCAGAATACAAGCTATTTCATATTCCACTGTGAAGTGCATAGGTATGTGAGGTGTGAAGCACAGAGGTTATCACAACTAGCATACACAACATCAATATTCAAAACAATGTGCTATTGTGGTTTAATCCAGAAGCCAGCAACTAGGACCTCACAGCCACTCGCTCACCCTGCTTCTTTCCCCTGCCCAGCAGGATGGGGAGAAGAAATGGATAAAACGTAAAACTTCTGAGCTGAGATAAAGACAGATTAATAAGGCAACAAAATAAGTACTAATGGTAATAATGCTAATGATAATAATAATGACAATAATGAATATGCAAAATGAACTATACACAATACAATTTTCTCACCACTTGATGACCAGTTTGCAGCAGTCCCCAGGCAGCAATCATGGAACGCAGAACTCACAAATCTTGCGAGTTTTGCAATACTCCCGAACAAGACCGAACTCCCAGATAAGTTCAGCTCCCGGACAAGAGAGGATTCAAACTTACGGCAAATGAGAAGCAAAGATTCCTGCCCCCTGGAAAATCCCTATTTGTATAGTGATCATGAGGTCTTATGGTATGGAATATTTCCACTGGACAGCTTGGGCTGGCTGCCTGGCTCTGCTCCCTCCCAGCTCCTGCCCACCTGCTTATCAGATGAGTATGGGAAACTGAAAAGTCTTTGGTTTCTTAGCAACAACTACAAACATCAGTGTCATCAACATTCTTCTTGTACTAAATCCAAAACATAGCACCTACTGGGAGCAAATTTACTCTATAGCAGCCAAAACGAGGACATGTGCCTACATAATTACATCCCTGTTTTAGTAGGCTGCAATAGCAACAGTGGTTTCCCTATAGAAGACAGCAAGAATGCCAAGGTGCATTGTGTGGAAAAAAAAAGGAGATCCTGAAGTTAATCTTCCACAGTTGCCCAGAGAGGAGAGGTGAGGAAGGCAGGCTGCTGCCTTGTCCCACCAATGTCATAGCTGGCTCACCCTGCCTGCCTTAAGAAATCCAGGAGCTGCTACTTAATTTACGGTATTGCAGTTGCTTATACATGAGGCCCTATTCTTCCAACAAACTCGTGAAGATGCTCTACCTTCTACTCTAATTCCAATGTGCAATACTAGAAAGAGAGGTTTTTTAAGGTCAAGAAAACTGTTTCTATCCTTTTTCATATTGTCTGAGGAAATCCTACCTTTTCTTCTCCAATAAGTTTCATGTTCTTCTTCCTTTTTTATTCAGAAAGCAACTCACTCCCATCTTCAAAATCACCAGGAACTTCAGGTTACTCTGAATGTCAGCGTAGTTTCAACTTGCTTACATAATACATTCGATCATGCAGTTGTGTCCATATGCCACCTCATTATTAGGTCTGCCGTTCTAATTTAGATAGATCTATGCTGTCTGTGACTTTAGAAATGGAGATTTAAACTCGTGTGTGTTTGAAGCAAAGAACAGATATATTATCTGCATAAAGCAGCACAAGAAGTCTGAAAGAGAAAGGTTTAGCATCTCTTCTACTTCACAAATTCAGCAAAGGATCATTCTCAGGAGATCTGATATCTTTATTTTTTTATTTCATTTACATAACACCTAAATTATCATTTGGAAAAAACACTGCTTACAATAAATAATTTCGAGGTGTTTGTACAAACGACTGGGCACAAACTTAGTCTCCAATCTGAAGAAAAAATTTCAGTAAAAATTATTCAGAGATAGGTTATCCACTGAAATAATGATACTTTCCAAAAATAATAATTTTTATCTTGTTCATTCCAATCTCAGTTTTGGAGAGCCAAGGGAAGAAGAAAATTTTAGGTAACTGGACAGTATCCATATGATTGCTCAACTCTGCTCTCTGGATATTTTGCCTGTTTCTCCTTGACTCTGCTAAGTATAAGGTAGGTCAAGAATGTTGATTTAATCCAGTTCTACTCTCTTCTTAACACACTGAATCCTGTTCTGTCAACAACCAGACACCTATAATTTCTTAGCAAAATAACTACCGCACAATGGTGGATCTTCAGATTCTATAGAATACTACAAATGTTTACATATATAACATCTGGCTCATGGATTTCTTGCAGCAGAGGTGGGATTTTTTTTCTGTTTCTAGAGGAAAGATAGTATATTCCAGGAAAGAAATGCAGAAAGTCCAAGTTCCAATCTTACTTAAATACATACATGGAGATATAGCACCCAGAAAAATGAAAAAAATAAGTGACTGTGTTTTCTAATGATGGGTTTGTGATAGTGGAACACTCACCGTTACCATATAAGGTAGTGCTGATGAATACAGAGAGTTATTTTTCATAAATACTATTTTGATAAACACATTACAAGTTGATAAACACACTACAACTTCCCATATGTTCTAGAAAGTCTGAGGCAAACTGGTAAATCTTACTCATATTTTAAAAAATCTTCTAACTAAAAATTATGTTTGGTAGAAAAATTTCTAATGTCTCAGAAATAATTTTTTGACTCCTTGTGGGGCTGGGATATATTGATAGAATTTGTTCTTAGCAATGGTTCACACAAATGTCATCGTTTATTGATACTGCCTGGAGACATGTCAGAGACTATATATCAGAAACATATGTTATCCCTGTGTTTCAATTGATGAAGTTTTCATTAATACAGTAAAAAAAAAATCAACTATCAATTTAATCTTCTGCTTTCAATTTGATATTTGCAACATTTATTTCTCAGTTCCTGAAATAAAGTTTAATTCCTTTTTCAAAACAAGCAAACAGTCCCTTCCACCCCCTATTTATTCTACCTATTCCTCAATGTATGTCCAAGCTGACTCAAACTGTTTTTCAGCTCACAGAGAGAGCATAAGACAGACACCTAACATGTGAACCTCTTCCTATAAAGCACTGAGAAGTCGTATCAAGACATCAACACAGATGTAGTACAAAATTTGTAGTACTATGAGTAAATCTGCTTGTTCTGTTTAGTCACATAATATTATAAGGATGGTATGAAGACCCACTGTACTACCCAAGCAGTTTACTAATTTGGAGGTTGTCCTTACATCTGCCAGGGTTTGCAGAGGTGGAAACTGAATAATTTGCTCTATATGAATTCATTCATTTTTAGCACACCGAAATCAGCCAAGTCTCTTTCCGTCTCTATCTAGTTAAACATTAAATACTGAGCACCTACCTACACCACAAGTGATGAATTGCATTTTTTAAACTGTTACTACAAATAATAACATGCATCTGGTTCTAATGCTTTTTTTGTCTCGTTTCTGTCAATCTGAGCCTGTTTAAAACACTGCTGGACGGTGGAGCACCAGCCATAGGAACACAAGTGATCACCTGAGGACTGAGGGAATACATCGTCTTCGAATCCATACAACGCATATTGCAAAAGATAATTGACCACCTCCTTCTGGTATATATTAAATTCTTGAAGACTCTGTCTCTACTTTCTTCATATGAGAGTCAATCACACAGAGTATATGGATGTTTACTGTGGGGTTAATCACTAGACAGTAATTGCCTGTCTGTACTGACTGAATAAATCAATTCCATACAAAAGAAAAATTGTTAGGAGATCCTGGATATTGAGCTTAAATAAATATGATTGATTACTTGAATTTTCTCAAAACAACACAAAGACAATGATTTCCAGACTAACCTAGTAGAAGAAAATTACAAACCATAATCCACTGTAATTTCTGATAATGTAGAGGGCAAATCGGTACATCAAAACAGAAAGCAAACTTTTCACCATAAAAGGAAACTGTTGCAATTCATCCTAATGCACAACATAAGTGCTGTTACTAATTGTCGGTGTGTGGTTTATTTATATATCAGATACTAAAAAGGAACAAGAAAAGTCCATGAAACTCCTTCTCTAAGAAGTGTCTCTTGGTTTATTAGGTAATTTTGAAAGTACAAAAGCTTATATATGCAAGCTTCTTTGTCAACCATATGGATCTAGTTCTCCTCCAGTTTGCCAGGAAAATCCTGTTTCTGCCTTCTTTTAGGGAATATACCGTGGAACTACACTGCATTACACAGATCATGATGTACTCCTGTCTTCCAATGTTATCCTAAAATTCTAGAGGCTAATTTTCTATCTTAGGTATATGTTCAGATATGTGTTTCACATGTTTCTAAAACAGAGGTTAGAGGTCTGGTGAGGAATTGAAAATTTAATGGACCATTCTTCATACTGTTCTGCCACTGTGGTACTACTATTACTGTACATATTTTGTTTTCATCTGTGATGAATTTTTCCCACTGATACGGTATTTTTGAATGCAGATTATATTAAGTGCATCATCTTCTTCAATTGCTGTTTGCTAAATTACAGAGTTTATTTGTGTTACATAATTACTGTGTGGAACTTGATACTCCAAAATGATTTTGAAGTCAAGAAGAAATGGATTAAAAAAATAATAAAACCAATGGAAAATAGGTTAATTGGTAACCACAGCACATGGCAACTGAAATCAGGAAGTTCTTGAACTATGAACTACTGAAACCTGGGAGAGGAAGAATGATACTGTCCTTCAGTCATGCACTGCTCAGACACTACCCCTTGCATGCCTGGCTCCCAGTTACAATGGTCTCAGTGGGTTAGAGCTACTGCTATTGGGTTGTAGCTACAGCTATTCTCATGTCCCATTGCATTTAACCACATGAAGAAGTACGAAGAAGACTTAACAATCTGATTTTCTGTTAGAGGTAGTTCTTGCTGAAGTTACCCATTCCTTGACCACATTTTCCATACAAAAACAAGACCTACCTGTAAGCTTTTGCAATAGACCAAAACTCAGACTAGTTCAAATTGCTATACATACAACTGTGAAGTATTCAGGACAGCTTTAATGCATCAGCCATTCATATCTAGGCACACAACAAAGTATTGTGCAAAAGTGGTTTGTGTAGATATAATGACTCAAAACTGCACGACTCAATTCACAATATTCAATGTTTTTTTCAAAATATAAGAGATAGCAAAAGACTGTAATTACCTGTAACTGTTAATTCCGTAGTTCTTCTGACAACAAAGAATCCATATTTTAACTCACAAGTGTAATTTCCAATGTCATCCTCTCTAACTTCCCGAATGACAAGAGTGTCCTTTTTAAACACAATACTTGATCTCCACGTCTTTGACTTGCATTCCTGTTTAAAGATAATATAACACTTCAGTGACTTAAACTGGACCACTATTGACAATGCTGCTCAAAGACAAGGCCACAAGGCAAAAGCCCAAGCTGGTGATGAACTTTGTATACACTAAATATCTAAAAATCCAGTTCAATTAAGAGTTGATTAAAAAGAAAAAAACTATAGAATTTATCAGCTGACTTAATATTTGCCCTCTGACAACAGAAAGAAGAGGAACTGATTCCTTTGGTGGTTTTCTTCTGACATTAGTTTGCTGAGAGGCTCCTATTTCATTTACTTGTTTGCCATTACACTTATGTCCATGATCCATCACTGTTATATTACCAGCAGCTACAGGTTGCAGGGGAGAATTTATTATTAAAATCTATTTTTTAAAACCATTATAATAAAAAATGTGGAGAAACAGAAGATGAGAATCAGGAGAAAAGAGGAAAAGTTATATAAGTCTTTCTAAAAACATCTTTGAATCAAAGATGTCTTAACTCTCAGCAAAAGGTGAGTTTTGTATGATATTTGCAAGTAAAAGCTAACATGTAAAGACAAAAGTTTTGGAAATCATTGCTGAATTTTATGTTGCAAAATTAAGCCGTTCATTCAGATAATAGCATACATAGTTATTTGTATTTTTGCAAATAGACTTTACATCTGAGCTTTTAGAAACACGCTCTTAAGCTTGGTGTGCACAAGCAGTTCCTGAATAAGTAGCTCACATGGCTTTACCTTAGCATATCAAACCAGCCCAGACTGCGAACACTTTTTTTTTTCAGCTCTCTTGTTAGCAGAAAGCTGCCAATTCTTTGTGACATCCATAAATGGATATTAAGAAAATATCAGCTCTAAAGTTTACCAAAGGAAGCATTTGAATTTCTCTCTCACTTATTTCATTCTTTTCTATCCTTGATTCTGTTGTCTGTTTTTAACGAATTTTAAGACAATCCAAGCTTCATATCATACTTAGATCATGAAAATCATAAGAACATTGCATCATATTTTATGGAAGCTGAAAATGTTTTGCAATCCTTACCTTATACCACAGAATTTCAGGCTCCCTAAATGGAAATAAAAAATCCTCAATTTCAGGGCATGAGATTTCCTTGCTTTTGCTAAGTTCAGCTTTTTCAAAATATTTCATCTTTGAATTGTAGCAGAGTCCAGTGTCATTTTCACCCACCGTCAGCGAAATGGACACTTTCATACAATAAGTTGAGTTTCTGTAAAGCAATAAAAATAGAAATAGAAGTCTAATATGAAAAAAATAATAAATGTCAATGTACATGACATTGGTTTTAAGCCATTATTTTCAACCCAAGCAAAAGATAAAAAATCAGACACTGTATTTTGTGTGTATTTTATAGGTGTTCATGGTAATTTTACTTCTTTCTCAGCCACTGACTACAATAGTTAGAAGGCATTGTTTAGCCTTATTCTATGACTAAAGGTTTATCTTTCCCTTTCATCAAACTTCTTCTAACATTACTGTCCTTACTGTGTACTTCAGAACAGTTTCCCCAAAAGTAAATATGCAATAAAAGCTCTATGTATTTACCAGTGAAACTATACAATCAACTTGCTGGTAGACACCATTGCAACAGCTCTCAGGGGTGAACAGATCGTGTTGTAATATCACAGGCAAACGCCAAACTGGAACTTGAGCACCACGGCATTATGTTTTGTCCATGTAACTGAAACTTCTGATCTAAAAATTTCTAGAAGGAGCTAGGAGGGAAAAAAAAACCCACAAAAAACTCTTAACTGTCATCCCATTTTCTGAAGAAGCAAGCTAAGTAAAATTGTCATATATATTTTGTTTCTTCCTTCTGTATTCAGAGTGAATTGGTGAAAAATTTTGATTTATGTTTTGGTCTACTAAGAGCTCTTTTCTGCAACAGTGGCAATGCCAATTGCCAGAGCTAGAATTCCTTCTGAGGCACATCCAAGTTTCCATCGCAACAGCAGATCCTTTACTGGATGCAGCTCAGCCTTATTTTGGAAATACTTCAGAATATTTAAACCCATTGTTTGAAGATGATGTTGATATTTGATAACTCAAAGTAGCATGTGTCTGTAATTTGAGTCATAAGCCTATAAGCCTCCTGACGATATAAGCATGAATTGACAGAGCTTTAAGGTAATCATGTTCTAAGCTGTCAGATATAATGTACTGAAACATTTTTGGTGGATACTTCATTAGCTGAGTTCCCTAAGAATTTTCTCCCAAAAGCCCAAAGTATCATCAAAAGAACCTAAAGCTCCAGATGCCCCCTAGTGACACAGACTTTCTTACTGAGACACTGAATACTGACTGCACTGTCAATCTGACTCATCTAGATAAAAAAGGCAGAGCAATTAGAACAGTAGAAGCAAAGAAAACCAAGCTAATGATCTCACAGAACAGAAAACGAGAGAAAAAAATTAAACAGTCCCCAGGTGGGAACAAAGAAGAAGAAAGAGGAGGTAAGCCTGCTGATTACAGCTGGAGCATGATGGGTATAGTAGATGTGAAGCCCCTCAGCTAGCAGAAAAAGTAGCAGCCAGCAGAGCCCTCCAGCAAGCATGCATATACTGCAGAGGGTAAAAAGTGTTCATGTGTTAGAACTAAGAAAATTTTCAATACATCTCTTACTGGAGGCGTCAAATCAAGCAAACAAACAAGCGAAAATCCTATGTTGTGACTTTAAGGATATTTTAATACCCAATGGAAACCAAATGTCGTGTTCATTATTAAGAGTAAATGATGCCAACAGTTTTTCTTCTTTTGTTCTCCAGTGTGGTCCAAACTGTGGACCTTTATTCACCAGGCATCTGCACTTCAAAACAGTACCCGTCTAAAAACTCAAATCTGCAGCAGTTACTTATTACAATTCAGGCAATGAAAATCAAACTGGTTATGAATACATTGTAGAGGGCTTACTAGAACTCTGTGTATTTCCTCTTTCTTGTTGACAAGACTAAGTTGCTCATTAGGACTAGGAAAATATTCATCCACCTGCTACCACTGATGAACAAAAATCATTTCATGTGGTATGACAGAGGCCGCCCCAGTGTTTGACATGGACCCATGTGGTCATCTCCACCCTAACATGTCATTTATATACCACTGATCTGAAAGCATTAAAGTGAAAACAATATAGCAATCATATCTACTAAATATATTGATTTCATTATAGGACTTATACATTTGTGGCCATTTATCTTTCTTAAAAGTTTAGGGGCCTATAGGGTTGTGTGACTGAATCTTGTGATAAAGATAGGACAGAAAAGTGTATAAATGGCTTAAATTTTCTATGACTTCTACATCCCAGGAGTAGTTGCTCTAATGCTCAGCTTCCCATAGTTCCCTTGAATCAGTGGTTCACCTTTTGTTATCTGATATTTTTTAAACTCTTGGTTGTACAGTAGCCATGTGAAAGCTTATAGAGCACTGACTAACAAGAGTCTGTTTAAATAAGAACAGAAACTTCTGCTTTTTACAGTTTTTCAGTTTGAAATCACATCCACCTCACCAGGTCATCAGTACTTATTTCACCTTAATGTTAGTCGATCTGCAGCTGTCATAGATCCATATAAGACATCTGACATACAAAATACCTCAATATTCGGACTCTGTGGTAGAGAAGACTGTGACAGAGTGAAGAGCAGAAAAGCTCATGGTGAAGTTTGAGGAACAGCACGAAGTACGGAAAAGTATTGTAAAACAAACAAAAGTACAGTCGAGTAAAGAGGAGATCTTGATGAAAAGCAGGAAAATGTAGGTTAAACAACCACAAGTACAGCCACATTACAAAATCTCTTCCTTCTCCAGACAGTGACCCAGAAGTCCTAGCAACACCCTGAAGATTCTGATTAATTCATGACCCAAGTTAGTAGTTTCTAAAATAAGATCAATGTTTATTTACAGTCTTCTGAGAGTCTCAATTACTATATACAGCTATATGTTCCTTGAGTTAAATGGAATTATAACAATTTGTAATAGGCAGACCTCTGCAATACTTTACTTTTACAACCAAATTCTTTAGGTAGATGGCTTTTGAAAAAATTTAAGGTTGCAACTATTCCTACAAAACAAACTTCAGTCTTGAAACAATTATTAGCAACTGAAACTGGTTTATGACTATCACACATTCATCAGCTCAAGGAATTGCAAAACTTGTTGCTATTTAAAATCATCATTCTTGATATTATGCAGTAAGAAATTAAAATGAGTCAGTGGAGTAAAGCTTGTCATCTACCTACATAATCCATGCTTTAACATTAGTCTAATTACGAGCAATAACATAATTACAAGCAATAACATTATTAAAAGTTTTTCTTCAGCTGAGCTTTTGAACTGAAGAACCTCCTGTCATTTTGAAGAAAAACATTTCTTTTCCTATCTCTTTTCCTTTTCTCAGCTTTAATTGACATCCAATTCAGGATGTTGTTTCTTTGAGATATAGGTTGGAAAATATTCACCGAATCACAGAAGGGTAGAGGTTGGAAGGGACCTCTGTGGATCATGTAATCCATCCACCCTGCCAAAGCACGTTCACCTAGAGCAGGCTGCACAGGACCACATCAAGGCAGGCTTTGAATATCTCCAGAGAAGGAGAATCCACAGTCCCTCTGGGCACCCTGTTTCTGTACTCCATCATCCTCAAAGTAAAGAAGTTCTTCCTCAAGTGCAGATGGAACTTCCTATGCTTCAATTTGTGCCTGTTGCCCCTTGCCCTGTCCCTGGGCACCACTGAAAAGAGTCTGGCCCCATCCTCTTGACATACACCCTTAAGATATTTGTAGGCATTTATAAGGTCCCCTCTCAGCCTTCTCCAGGCTAAACAAGCCCGGCTCCCTCAGTCTTTCCTCATAGGACAGATGCTCCAGTCCCCTCATCATCCTCGTAGCCCTCCGCTGGACTCTCTCCAGTAGCTCCTCATCTTCCTTGAACTGGGGAGCCCAGAACTGGGTGCAGTACTCCAGATATGGCCTCACTAGGACAGAGTAGAGATTGAAGATAAGCTCTCTCAACATGCTGGCCACACTCTCCTTATGCACCCAGGATACCATTACCCTTCTTGGGAACAAGGGCACACTGCTGGCTTTCATGGGTTTTTTTCTTCATTGAGGTGGTCAAAGTTGAAAAAAAGAAAGGAATGCAGCTTGTCGTTTAGGTATCTAGTTTACAAGCATCGCCCACCTTATTCATGTCGAGCTCTACACAAGGGAAAAAAAGAAAACTAAAAGCACCTTGGAAAGACTCTGTGGAAACGTGCGGACTGTGCAGTTAAAGCATCTTTTTCCACTGTTCTTCATATTTAGCAAAATAAAGACTCTTGTGAAGTTTTCCACAAAATACCTACAAAATCAACAGTGCCCAAAGATCTACAGACTAGTGGTATGCACAGGTAAAATTCTCTAAAAATTTTCAAGGTCCTACATTTGGGGTATTTTTTCATATCTGGAAAGGCAATCTTATTTCCAATGGATTAATTTTTCTTTTTTTTAAAGAAAACAGGCAGCAATCTGTCCTGTAATCCAAAATATCGATGAACAGACATAGATCCACTTGTCAAACTTCAAATGAAACTCTATACAAAGAATAGCTTTAAAAAGCTTAAAGGTGGTAGAACTTTAGGAGTAGAATGCTTGAGAATGAGTTTGTTTTAGTAACATTAAATTATATTATATTTATTGATTGTTTTAATTTCATTGGTGTTTTCCAAAAAATTTGCACGTACAAAGACACGACAAAAACATCTTTCTCCTTCATAAAATCAGGTTATTAATCTTCTCCACTAATACTAAACAACATAACAGATAGCATTACTTCACTCTTAGAAACAAGAACTGATAAATAATTTGATGAATAAATAAGACAGAACATTGGAAATCTTCACAGCAGCTTCTGAAAGTAAATTTCACACACGGATGAAAATTAACGTTGCCTCATTCTGCCCCATGTGAAAGAATACAAGGAATACAGATTAACTATATTTTTCTAGAAACAGAGGAAACTTCTCTTCATGTTTATAGCATTAATATATACCTCACTTCTCTTTTGAAGAGTAAGTATATGAAAATCTCTTGTAGTTAATTTATACTTTTTTTTTTCTCTTTTTTGTAGTTCTCTGGAGGTTTCATGTGTTTTTTCCCCTGCATTTTTCATCCAATCCTGTATTTCACCCGTGAACAAGAACTTATTACATGGAAAGCATCTCCTTTAAACTTGGTGAAA